ACACTATAGAGCATTGAACATTGAGTCAAGAGCAACACAAGTGAGAGAGACACCACATATTCACTCAAAATCTTAAGGTGATAGGTGTATGAGTTCTCTCATTTATAAATGCTCAAGTCACCACATTCTTATCTAATATGAGGCTATTATCTATACTACGCACACTTGTTATATTATTCTAACATTTATGATTTACAATTTAATATTTAAGAACTTTTCGTAGTTTTGTGTCACAAAAGTGTAATCATCCATCACTTATCAAAATTCTTAGAGTATAAAACCACTTGATGATAATCATTTTGAAGAATTTGATTACTATTTTGGCATCAGTTTCCTGAGTAGCCACTCCATCCACATATTGGGTTGCATTATCTAATGCAACCAAATTGTATTCATTAGATAAATATGATGGTAATGGTCCTAAAAAATCAATGCCCCAAAAATTAAATACTTACACATCAAAAATGTCCTGAAGAGGCATTTCATGTCTTTTGGAGAGGCTTACATTTGTCACAATTAGGGCTGGCAATGAACCAAACCAACTCGAAAATAGTTCGGAATTCGATTCGACAATTAAATCGTTGAACTAGGTTCATGAACCAAATGAGTTGAGTATGAGCGAAAAATTAAGTTCGTTAACTAAATGAGCTGAACTTGAACTTTACATAGTTCGACTCGTTAGGTTCATGAGTCAACTCGATTACATATGAGAAGAATTATACTGTCTTTAAGATTAGGTTTAAATATTTATTCCAAATCTTAGACAAATTTAATCTTCAATTTAGTAGTTTTTGAATTAGACTCTCAAATGTATCTCTTGAAAGTTGTGTAGGTTTTGAATTAGTAGATTTCGAAGATAAAGTTAAATTTCAATATGATAACTTTTATTTAATTTTAACATTTTATTTTTAAAAAATATATTTATTTAAAATGTCAAATATACTAAAAAATATATATATTTAAAAAAATAGTTTTTAAGTTCGTGAATCATGTGAGCTGAACATAATGAGATGAACCTAACGAGTTAAACCGAATTGTTCGTGAACTTATAACGAGTCGAGTTTGAGCTTAAAAAAAGTTCGTGTTGAACTCGAACTCGAACAATTCTTAACGAGTCGAGCCGAGCTGAGGTGAGTTCGACTCGACTCGACTCATTTTCAGCCTTAGTCACAATGTAACACCTTCTATTAAACATCTTTAAAGATAAATGACTAAAATAATCATGATTTCATGATTTTAGCAGCTGTCTTATTTCTATTATAATGACCACCATACAATGAGTTATTATAGTACCACAATCTATCGATAACTACATTTTTGGTTACACATATGCTTTATAACTTTTCAATTTCAATCTTGAATAAATAAGGATTGTCTCATACATAGTTCTTTAAGTCTATGAGAATTTTTTTTTCACTTTTCTGTTATTTCGTTTTTAGGCTTTTCTGCTTTTCATATGTTACAAATTGACGAGTAGGGGTGGAAGCAGGCCAAACCGATAACAGGGGCCTGCAGGCTAGCCTACACAGGCTCAGGTCAGGCCAAACTATTTTTTTAAATAGAAAAGTCCTAGACTTTTTTTATAAGCCTATTTAGTTAAAAAGGCTAGGCCTCAAGCCATAAAAAAAAGTCTTTTAAACCTAACTGACCGACCTATTTAAATAAATACGAATAATTTTTTTATTATCTTATGTTATGTTTTGTACTTTGAGTTAAAATACATAAATAAAAATTGGTTATTTTGGAGAATTTATGAAAATAAGATGAAAAATCCTTATGAACAATGTTATAAGTAGTTTTCATAAGTTATCTTAAATAAATAGTCTCACAAAATTTATGATAATAGGTATGTTAAAATAAGTCAATGCAAAAAAACTTTTAGTCTCATTGATTTTTTAGTTTGTTAGACTATTTAAACATTATTTTAATTGTGTATTTACATATTTTTGAAATAGTAGGACTTTATTTAGGCTAACAAAGTCTTATAAAAGATCAGATTCAGACCTAAAAATAAACCTATGACAGACTACATGGTAGACTTATGATTCAGTTTTTTTGACAAGTCAGACTTAAGCTTGGCAAAACCTAACTCGGCTCAGCCTATTTCTATCCCTACTGACGAGTCAAGGTATAATTGCAAACTATTATCCATCCTAATGGATTTAAGACTATAAAATATGTTGTAAATATCATTTTAGGGTCTGCTACACATTCTATATTATTAAAGTATAGATTTAATTTTCTGCACTTTTCATTTTCCTTATAACTTGAAGAACAATACATGGTTTGTCTCTAATTTCTCTATAATTTCAATAAAAAAGTTTTTATTAATCTCTTTTAACTTTATATTAAAGCAGATGTCTATGTTCATGATTATATATGCATTTTCTAATACCATGAGTGAGTAGTCTTTCAATAGGTTTAACATTATGAGAATGATTTAAAATGCTTAGTTTTGATCTTATTATGAGAAATTATATTATTGCTATGACCTCTTAGATTTTCACATATATCTCTATAAAAGTAGAGATAACATTAGATATCAGACGATATACTGAAAAGGCAAAGACTAATATCTAAGCTAAAAAGTATATAGTTAAACCAAGATATGAAAGTATCTTTGGTTTAATTGAGAATATCTTTGATACATTGTTTTAGAATACAATCATATGCTCTAAAATGACATATGCTTATATTTATCTATTTAACTTATAAAATACTAAAATTCTCATAACAAAGCGAAAATGAATGATTACATGATTAAGTTGTAAACAAGTAAACATAATCGTAAGACTTGCTATTTCTTATCATAAGTTTAATCAATCAAAATATCTCAAAACAATCAACTTAACATCGTTTTAGCTAATCATCAAATACCTAAGAGTCGATAATCCAAATAGTCCTCAATGAATTAATATTTTACTAGATTAATATAATCGTACAGTTATGACCTATCAACAACGCTCTAATTCATTATCAATTGAAAGTCATATGTCTAAATTTTCTATCTTTCTCTTTTCTTAAACTAAGAAAGATTACACTTTCCTATTCTTTCGAGTGCAAATCACACTATAGTAAGATATTTTAAAATTATAGTTTAACCTAACTCATCCATATAAAAATCAATTTGTAAAATGAGGGTCTCATTGGATATAAACTATTTTTAGAGTATATCTTCAAACCATGTGATAGTTAAATTTTATAATAGATTTCAACTCATTCAAACAATATAATTTTATTTCACTTCATCTTCTACTATTTCATTTCATCGTATTTCACTCATTCAAAGAATGCCTAAGACTATATTTGAATTCATAGAATGAAATGATATAAATTTATGTTTTATTATTTAGATTAATTTAAAAATATGGAATGAAGCGAAACATCATGGAATGCATTCCATCAATTTTATACCTCATATTTGGAAGAATGACAACATTGTTTTATTCCGTCATAAAATACTCAAACGAATAAAGTGACATATTTATTTCATTCCACTCAACTTCATTTCACTCTATTTTATTTTTTTAAAGTAAAACTCAGTTTCATTAATAGGCAAACCAACAAGAATTACAAATCAAAAGACACTTGAGATGGAACATACTCCATATAAAATCTAGAGGAAATTCTAAGAGAAAGCACTACATAGTCATAATAGATAACATACATTGCTCACAAGCTACGACAACACCAAACTAAAAGCAATAACATTTCATCGAACAATCCACTCTCTTACAAACAATATCAATGGCAATGTGGGAGTGAGAATCCACCTTCTTTTTTCAAATCCAATTTCGGATGATTTCTTTGACTTGTGTTTACACATTTCGACTTTCTATGGTCTCATTATTGCCCAACTTTCTTGAGTGTTCACAAATTAACAGATGACTAGAGACGGTGTTAAAATGGATGTTGGACTCATAAACTTCCTCACTCATTATGAAATGCCAATAGACATACATAAACATGCTACAAAACACAACACTATGTTATCGAAATTAAAAACCAAGAGTGCAACCTTTACCCCTAAAAAATAGAAACATATAACATAAAATATGTTACCGAAATTAAATACATTTGTTATAAGAAGTAGTTGCATTCTGTAGAATAACTACGACGACTTTAGTGTCAGACGAAAAATTTTCGATAGCAAAAGTGTAAGAGCAGGGGAGAGAGACACCTTCACCGTTGATGTGTGCATAATTCCCATAACAAAACTGTAATTTTTTAGTAGTGGTGGCTCCGATGGCGGCTGTGAAAACACAAAAGGGAGCTTGGAGGTTGGTAGTGGTGGAAAGATGGAATATCCAGTGATAAACTTTGATATGGTGAAGACATGAGAAGAAAAATGGATGAGGAAAATAGTGCTATCATAAGAGAGGGGGATGGCCACCATAAAGGTGAAAGAAGAGGGTCACCATAAAGGTGGGATGGAGCCACCAAACAATATGTAGTCGGAGAAAACTTTTTTAAAGAGGAGAAATAATATCTCTCTCTAAACCTTTATTTCATTTCACTTTATTCACTAAAACAATAAAATGATATCTTTATTTCATTCCGCCACTTCCATTCGATTTCACTATCCATCAAAACATTCAAAATTAGTCTAAATGAGAGATAAATAAATGATTAATCAAGTAAATAAATAAATGAGAGATAAATAAATAAATGATAATTTTTTAATGAAAACAAGTAGTAATTAAAGTTCTATCCGATTTCATCCTTCTCTGTTGTTGAATTAATTAATTTGTACAGAGTTTCCTCAAATTCAACCTAATCAAACTCAAAATACAAACCCAAAGAAACTCAAGTTCATGATTTTTTCTCACATCACATACCAAAACTCAAGTCACCCAAACCCTCCCCGAAAGCAACACATACATTCAAATCAAAGGCGAAATCATACACAAACCACTGACGAAAACTCCAACCAAACACCGTTAGGGTTTCACAGAGCGCTCAAACATCACTCAAATCACATTATCCAAGAGTAGCAATTGATGAGGCCAAGGGTAAAACTAAAACATCTGAACATTCAATTCGCTATACATTCCTTTTTTTTTTCTTCTTAATTTTGTTTTTTATAGTTTTTGCATTGCATTTTTTCGTTGTGATCAGTGGCTAGGAAGTGTTAGAAGCTACGCGAAGAATCTTCGCATTGATGGAGTGAAAGATACCATAGCTATTGCTTCCGGTAAAGGCGGTGTCGGCAAATCTACAACTGCTGGTAAAAAAAGCTTCTAATTTTCTGTTTTCTTTATGGATTATTTGAGTTTTTGTTGGGAATGAATAGAAATGGACTGATTTTATTTGAATTTACAGTGAATTTAGCTGTTGCACTTGCTAGTAAGTTTCAGCTGAAGGTTGGTTTACTTGATGCTGATGTATATGGACCCAACATTCCTATCATGATGAACATCAACACAAAACCTGAAGTCACTCTAGGTATATATCTTTTAATATTTCTCTATAAAGCACTAATATACAACTAGAGAAACTATAAGAGGCAGACGAAGACCTAGAAAAACTATAGAGAAACTATTAAGAAAGATCTCGAGATTAACGAATTGGATAGAAACATTGTATTAGATAGAACATTATGGAAGAATTCAATCCATGTAGCCGGCCCCCTTTAGTAGGATAAGGCTTGGTTGTTGTTGTAAAGTAATCGAATGTATAATAGTAGTGTTGGACACAGGTACATGTTGGAAAATGGCATGCCTTTAACCTAAAATGTTGATGCTACATAGATATTTATTTATTTATTCATTTATTTCCACTTTAACTTTTTCTGATAAGTATTCATCTTCAATGACATTTAATTTCTACAAGCTTTTAGGCATTGTGCTATGTTAAATGAAAAGCATCGAATATCAGACAAAGTTTGCTTTCTTGTTCATATTCAAGCAATTGTGGTGATGATGATAAAGCAATACCAACTGTTTGATTGTTTTTGTTCTAGATGTTAATCAAGTTATATGATTAACCGTAAAAGTAAACCGCTAACGGCTACACAATTAACTTCTTGGGCATTTTGAGTTTGATAAACTTATCCATATGTAATATTTTCTGATTATCATAAGTGAAAATGCACTCAATAAGGTTGTTTTAAATCATCCACTTCATTGATTTTTTGGATTGGATGGAATCCAATACACAACTAGAAGAGGAGTACTAGCAATGCACTCTTCTCAACACATGCTTTTTTTAAGAGTGTGTTGCTAGCATTTCTCATAACTAGAATTTAAGAACTGTTTGTCTTTTTCTCTGTTTAGTTTTTCTTGTCTTTTTTTAAACTCTTCTTTGCTTTAAAATTGCTACTTATAGATAAAATGCTTATTAAGTTTAGTTTGATGGCTAAGTTCCTTCCATCTTCCATTGCAGTTCATGCCAATAATTTTCTGTTCGCGTAATTTCAGATAAGAAAATGATTCCCATTGATAGTTTTGGGATCAAGTGCATGTCAATAGGGTTCCTTGTGGAGAAGAATGCCCCAATTGTCTGGAGAGGTCCCATGGTATGCCTGTAATTGTTTTTCCCCTTGGTTCTTCACTTTTTCACTTTCATTAACTATTTAATGCCTTACCTTCCTTCTACAACTCTAGTTCTTGTTTATTAAAACATATTGCTGAATATTTTTATTTTTATGGAATAATTCTTCTTGCAAAACAGCCACTCCATTTTTTTTAATATGAATATCTATTGCTGGATTATCGTAGGTATCAAATGCTCTTGAGAAAATGACAAGAGGAGTTGACTGGGGTCACCTTGACATTCTAGTGATAGATATGCCTCCTGGCACCGGTGATGTTCAGATATCTATGTCTCAGAATCTGCAATTATCAGGTAGGTAACAATTTAGGAATTATGAAGATGGTTCTAGTGGGAGGCTTTTTGGGGGATCACCTGTTTGTGATGTCTAAAGCAAAACTTTGGCAAACAGCTTGGACCCTTTGTCTGGATTCATGAATTTTAGTCTGTGACTCTTATCTGCCTTATGTATTCATAGGTCTGTTTATACCATGTTGTGTTAATTCGAGTGAAAACATTTTCAGTAGAGTATTAATTGAATTATGAGTGCTATACATTAGAATACATTTTTCCTATGTTAAAAGAAATCAGTCACAGATAAAATTGAATTAATTGTCCTTTGGATATTACCTTTCCTTATCTAGTTTCCATACACTTAATTTTCTTCTTGTATGGTAGGTGCACTGATTGTTTCAACCCCTCAAGATGTTGCATTAATGGATGCGAGGAGGGGAGTACAAATGTTTAATAAAGTCGATATTCCGGTATAATACTCAAGTCACTTGGCGTATTTTTGACCTGTTTATGAATTTTTGTTAATCAGAACATATAGTAATTTTAAGCAATTCAGTATGTATGGTGTAATTGGAGTATCATCTCACAGGGATTCATCCCAATTGTTTTTCTTCGGGGAAATGTTTATATTGTCATGCTATAAATATGCGTTGTGCCATCACTACATTTGGCATGAAATTTTAGCTATCTAGTTGTACTGCAGCCCTCCTACAGTCTACCTCATTAAGTTGTTTGAAATCCCAATCCTGCTGAAACAAGAGGTTGCATTTTGTCGGAATCAGAGTTTAGACATTGATGGGTTTGGAAATCCTAAGGACTTAATTCATTTTATTATTTATGTTGCTAAACCTAACTTGAATAAATTAAACAACATACCCACAGTCTAAAATGTGGTCGAATCTTATTCATATGTGCTTCTATGATTTGTTTTCAGGCATGTGTTTTTATTTATGTCACAGGACATTGATATTTCAGCCAATTCTTCTGATTTGATGTTTACATATCATCTGATAAGTATATGAATGCATCCTACCTTTAATGTCTGTTAATACGAGAACTCCAACCGTCCTTACAGATTTTGGGAGTTATAGAGAATATGAGCTGCTTCAAGTGTCCACATTGTGGCGAACCTTCATATATATTTGGAAAAGGAGGGGCTCATAGCACAGCCTCTGAAATGGGATTAGAATTTCTTGGCGAGGTATGCTGATTATCTGTATGTTGATTAGCGTTTTAAATTATAATTTTGCAGATCATTGGACTCTTTTAAATAATAATTTTGCAGATCACTGAAATCTGTTGAAGCAAGTAATAAAATTAAATGATGTCGGGGTACTTATGTCTCTAGCTTAGATTTTCTTTTCACCCAAAATTAATAAGGAAGACATAGGCAATGTGAATTTGTTATTGAGTTTGTGAGAACTAAATTTTGAGAGATTGAGGTGTTTAAAGTCAAGACGTTAGATATAAGACAATCCCTATAGCCATTTTCTTGTTTTATTGGGTTGCTGATATACACAAGCATTTTGAATATTCTTTGGATTGTGCTGTGCTACTGATTTTGCATGGGAGATACTTGGTTGGTAGAGAGTTCTTTTTTTTGAGGGGTTGATTTTACTAATTGAGAAGAACATTTATCTTAAATTACTGTGTAATATGCGTGCCTTAAATTTTTGATAAACAAAGCCACCACTTTTCTTAGTCGTAAGTGAGATTTGCAAAATTTACCTTCAGTGTTTCTGACAAATTTCATTTATTGATTATTCAAGATACCGCTGGAAGTAGGGATCAGGGAAGCTTGTGATCAAGGGCACCCAATAGTGCTGGCCGCACCTGATTCGGTAGTTTCCAGAGCATATGGCAATATTGCTGAAAAAGTTGTTCAGAAGCTCAACGAGCGACAATTTCAACCAGAAATTATACTATGATAACTCTCCGGTCTGTGAACAAGAAAAAGGACCGAGCTGGCTTCCCTTATGCTGCTTAAACTGGGTTTTGACTACTAAATTTTGTTGAAATTGTAGCATGAGATGCGGGCCTGGCCTATGATATAGATTTGTAGATTCAGGTATTTTCAATTTTGTTTAATAAGCTGCTAGTGATTCTTTGACGTCACATAGGTGCTGTCAAATTAGCAGTTTAATTTAACTTCAACATTGAGGTTACATAGAATTGGCAGCAGTGTTTTATGATGCCATTCCTTAAGTTATAAGGTTCTTTTACGTGGTTAGTTTGGATGCATTGCAGGAAGGTTATCTTTAGGAAGAGAAACATATTGTATAAGAGAATACATTGAGAATGTGATATCTTGTTTACGTGTGGCAGTGGTATGTGAGATTTATTCTTGCAAGACATGAAAATAATGCGGTTATATAATAATGATCCCTCGAAGTGACAGTCTTTACCCTTATAATGAGCTTAAACCAAAATGATGACAATTTCGGTTTTGTTTAATTTGTGAAAATATTTATTTTGTATTTTTATTTGAACACTGTTGTTCACTATATGCTCTACCTGCGTAACTTCGTTCAATGATCAGCATCACTGAAACCACTCATTTGGGTTGTCATTTCGACATTGGTGAGTACCACCATCTTGAATCTGTTGTAGTTTTAGTTATAAACCTGCATTCTTCTAATTATTATCACCTTCAAGTGTCCATTATGTGAGAAACTGATTTCTAAGAAGAATTCAATCCAATATTTGTTGGAGGTTATTGAGTGTGGAAAAGAAAAGGTAGGTATATTAAAAATATGAAATGGTTATTGGAGGAGTTGGTTACTGAACTATTACTAGATGGGAGTGCTTTGAAGTTTCAAAAGGTGCAGGTAATAAACTGATTGAATTACATTGTCAACATGATATTTTTGATCTAATTTTTGTTTGCAATGATGACAACCCGATGAGGTTTATTTCAGAATTAAAAGATATGAGACATTCTATTCAACTGTAATGGTTATTAAAATTATTGGAGGCAGTAACTATGGGGTTGATGATGTCTTTTATATTTTCTAATACATTCAACATGAAACTTTATCAAGAGCCAAACTCTACTTTTTACCCACTCGTCATCAAATACATCCCATTCAGTTTTCACACATGTTGAAACAACAACTAATTTGCATAACAAACTGGCCCCTCAAGAAAACTTGTTGCTACTAAAATTCTTTGAAATTTCGGACAAAATTGCTTTTGGCTCTCTTTTGGCACCAAGTCAAGTCAAGTACAATGCTATTTTAAATTGTTAAAACTCGTACTCTTGACAACTGAGTTTTACCATATTCATTCCTAAAATATAAATTTCCTTCTCACAAAATCTCAGATGGTAATAAGATGTTCACAAGTTATTAAAAAAAATTATTTCAATTATAGAACACATTATCGATGAGCCCCGCCTATCATCCAGAGATAGATGGATAATTAGAGGACTTAACTAGGTGGATAATTAGAGGACTTAACTAGGTGCTTAAAGATGCACCTTCACAATCAATAATTCAAGAAAGTGGTACAAGGCTTTGACTAAGTCTGAGTATTGATATATAAAGGAAAATTATGCTCGATACCCTATCATTTATCTCTCTATTTTTACAAGTTATGAGTTTGGATCAAAATACTCCTGAATAAATATTTAGATTTTAAATTTTTTCAATTTTTCCTTATTTCATTTTAAAGAAAGCGAGATGCAAATCGGAAAACAAACCTAACATATCTAATTCAATAACAAATCAGAGAACACAAAGTAAAGATATTCGATTCACTCTTTTAACACACCGGAAATCTTACAAGTTCTTCGATTTTACATATGAAAATTTGTACATACCAGATAACTTGGCATGTGGTTCTTCGGTTCACATTTATGCTAATTAGATAACTTAGAACCATGTTATCCGATTCTTAATATTTTCTACCAGAGAACTTGGTCCAAAGTTATCCGGTTCTTACTTTTAATTTTCGTTGATTTTTTTGTTATTTTTAGTGGCGCGCAGGAGAGGCCGAAACGTGGAGATTATTCCACGAAGAGGTGAAGGACGACAACCTCGATAGGTGATGGATGGAGAGGAAGATCAAATAATCGCACCTGAGCCTCGTCCACAATAGCCACAGTTTTTCGGGGGGGTCGTACGATACGTCCCTTTAGTGAGATACAAGGATCATATTGCTAGCCATTTATGGTACAACGAGGTAAGTTAATTGTTATTATTTTATGTTGAATCATTTTTAATTTTAATTACTTATATTTTATAATATATATTATAAATTGTTTTTAAGAGAGACAATCGAAGAAAGAATTAAAGACTGTTGCACATGGTACAAATTGATAGGATGAGTTCCACATATTCTCCCACCGCTGATAGAAAGTTGGTTGTTTAACTATGGTTTATCCTCTCTCCAGAGAATCAGTTTGTTAAGGATAGATCAAAATTTAGTATTAGCATTTGTATAGAGATGACGTCCAGATACACTGTCATTTCATATGCCATTTGGCGAGATGACCATTACAATGAACGATGTTTCCTGTCTTCTTCATTCACCGTATAAGGGTGAGTTCTAGAACCCTGCACGAGGTTTCGTTGATGTTGATGTTGTTACTCTTTTTATTGATTTGTTGGGTGTTTCCTTGGAGGAGACAGTTGAAGAGATCAATAATCGTAGGGGTGCTTATTATAGGTTTAATTGGTTGAATGAGGTATTTATGCGTTAACGAGCTGATAGTAGATTTGACTATGCTGGTAGAGCTTATATGTTGTTGTTAGTAGGTCGCACCATTTTTGCCAATAAGACTTTTACTCTTGTAGAGTCAAAGTATTTATCAATATTTAGGGACTTGGCTAGATGTGGTAGATATAGTTAGGGTCAATTGCACTTGTCACACCATCATCCAAGAAGTTCCATCTAGTGTGCGAAACTTCTTCCAATCCAATGTGATCGCTGGCAACGAAAATCTTTCATTCATGTTTACTTGTTTAGAAAATTAATATCAAAAGAAAAATAAGTAAGGCATAAATGAAAAATAAGTAATTACCTTAACAAACATGAATATTTACCTACCTGAAATCAATGATTTTAGTTTACAAATCCAATGTAGTAAATGGAACATAAGGTGAATGTGAATTCGTCATAGAAAAAAAAGTCAAACAAGGATAACCCAAAGAGATGAGAATGACATTATACTGATTTGCTATCACATAACCTATATCTGGTAATGCCATCCATTTCTCTGGTGGCTGAGGACCTAAAGATGATATTATCAAGGATTCTCTCATTTCTGATAAGCAATTTCCAAACAACTTCTCATAGAGATTGCTTCTAGAACCTCATTTCATTGTCTAAGTCACGACGAATGATTGACCAACCATCCTCACGATATCCATGCAATGATGCAATGACTCCAAACCCACAATTTTCGTCACTTTTAACATCAACAATGTCATCAATAAATGGTCTGATATGATATGAAAATTGTACCATGAAATTATTAGATGGTTGCTTCTTCGAGGTTTGAGATAACTGTGAACATGATCTCTTTGAAGATTTTTGAGAACTCGAGTTTGCTTAATCAACATACTAATGATATGAAGGGTCACGATAAACATCATATTCCACAAGTTTCTTCCCTTTCGTCTTCACCCTTTGGTTTTTATTTTTTAAGGCAATGGACAAATCCCTTTTGTAGTGAGATAAGCAATTTCATATACCCTACTTTTTAGTGCTCTTTTTCCTACAACACCTGGTGACCCGTACCATTTCCATAATGCATCAATTGCATTGGTCATGTCCACCTCTGATCCATCCTCTACATCCACCTTTTGTTTACATTCCATGTTTAGCTTTCTCCAATGGATATGAATAACATCAATTGGTATTGGATCACCATTCAATGTGTATCTCCCTAATTCACAAGCACAAGGTAACCTATATAATTTTCTATGAATACACCCGCAAATTTGGGTGTTTGTACCCACAATGTCAACCCTCAACTACTCTTCAGCAATGTGCCTCAAAGCAGCTCTTGATACTGATCCACGCAAATTCCCATAAAATGGACTAGTGTGCACGTGCTCAACTTCATAAAAACTCTTCTGAAATGAAGCTCTAATATTGCCCAATTATACCTTGATATTGCCATTTATTGCCTCCCAAACTTGCACATATCACCTAAAGTATTCTCCAACATTTGTTTTAGTTTCCAAAGCGCAACCTCAACCCTAAAATAAACAAATCAGTATCCATAATATTAAGACAAATAAACCATAGTTAAAATCAAACATACCTATTTATCGTGGTGTTTCCCAAATGCAACACTTAATTTATCCATGCTTCAACAAATCTATGTTTATGAGGAGTCAACCATATGTCTTTCACATAATCAAAAAATGGTTTAAAATCAACATATGTGTGCTTAAGTTGTTGCAACTATTGATGATACTCCACCTCATCATTAGCCCTTACAATTTCGTACCATAATTTATCTATCACCTCTAGCATATCATTCACAACATATTCCTTGCACTTTGATTTCAAATTTTTTGTTGATGTGAAATTGAAAAAGAAAATTAATAGTCCTTGGAAATATTGTTTCAATTGCTTTCATCAAAGTAAGATCTCTATCAATCAAAATCACTTGTGTCCATAACCCTTACTTAGTAACAATTGTTTCAACTTATCCAATACCCAACAAAAGTTCTGTGTCTGCTCATATTCCACATAAGAAAATGAAACAACAAATGTTAATTCAGTTGATGTCATACCAACTACTTCACACAAAGGTTGCCTATACTTGTTTGTCTTATACATGTTGTCCATAATCAACACAATAGGAAACATATTCAACAAGTTCACTGATTATGGATGGGCCCAGAAGATATCTCTCATAACTTCTGACTCATCTTTTTTTCTACTCTAGTAAATATAATTTGAATCTCCTATC